TATCGCACATGCGGAGATCACGTTTCAACATACTCACGGGAAATGATTCAGCGAAAGGATAAAAATAAAACGCCAGGTAATCTCAGAAAAGTACAATGAAGGAATACACGAAATATTAGACCACTAATGCGTCGCGATAATTCAGGAATATAAAATTTCAGTGGCATTAATCTCACACATCTATTGCGAGGGCAAAATGGGTTATTTTTAGATTTAGGGATTTTTTTTCTAATTCAAAATCATTCCAATGACATTCATTGCGCTATGAATGATACGGCATGGTATTACGTATGGTTCCATCCCCTCCTGACGTAGAGCAGTTGTGCAATCCGCCGTGATGAACAGCACGGGGAAGGGAGATAAGTATATCGCCCATGCAAAAAAAAATATGGCCCGCAACCATATTATATTAAATATATTATATATTAAAGGTTTTATTTGTCCCTCTTGACATTTTGCAACTTGCACACCCCTGACTTATATTCACTGCGGCAAAGGAAAATGTCTCCGTGTCAGTATTCCAGTTCCAGCTAATAGAGTTGGTGCATTCTTAAGTAAAGGCGATTACGAAAGTCAGATTTTTTTTGATTGTAAATGATAAATTTCATTCTTAAATAAGACTTATGTATTTCATTTTAATGGTTTGCATCTTTGCTTTAGACAAATAAATGTAATTGAAAATTAATATAACTTCGGGGCGGTAATTGTCAGCTGACTTCTTCAAAAGACTGACATGGGCCATGTATCTTGTAAAACACCGCCAGGAACATTACTTACAAATCTTTCCTTTTAAACCTTACGCCTATTGCTCTGATTGAAGCGTCCACGAACTCTGGGAAGTTAGTTACTTAGCCCGCGTTCTTGGCAGGGGTGTTAGATTACAGAGTGACTGGCGATTGATTGATTGTTTCATGGTAATACATATTTCGTATAAAAAATAGCCAATTAATAATGTTTTTTTTAAATTTGTTCTCTCACGTGAATTACGATGACACAATTTGCGCCAGAGTTGCACTGACTGTATCTACGCCTCTTTGTAGGGTAAAATATTAGTTTTTAAACATGTCAGCCGTCTGTAAATACGTTGATATTATTTTTCACGTTCATCTCCTTTTTGTTATTAGCAACTTTCAGTGACGGTGAAATGGACTCTTCTTTTAGACTTTAGCATTAAAACTCACTAAAAATAAATTAGCTATCCGCAGAACACTAAAATGATGTGTCGCTCCCTCTTGGATTATTAGAAATGTCACAGTGGCTGCTAGCAGCAGTAGCAAAATCCATGCCTCCACGACTACGAGCTTATCAAAGCAACTTGGGGCGGGAAACTATCAGTCAGTTTTCCTATAACAGTGAGTCTCTCGAAACGTTTAGTATCATGTTCTTTAAAAGATAAAACCTATTTTACAACGAGTATGTATACAGAAAAATTAAAGAACAAGTGCAGCTACAAAGTATACCTTCTATTATTAGCAAGGGTTATGTAATATTATAAAGGCGCGCGGTCAACAGTCTTTCTGACGATTTCCTGATGAATTACCGAAATATCGGTACTCTTAGCTAAATAAACTGTGTTCCTCGACGCATTAGTTAAACGGCACATTTCTGTCTAAACAATTTCGTTTTACTACCATCCCATAACAGTATTTTACCTCCTATAGGTACAGATGTTGACAAGCTTTGTTTACCAACAATACCCGGTAGAAATTCATTACAGAGATTCGTGGAAGCTGTCAGCTGATGTAATGGGATATGAACGTAAGCGGTATTAAACAACTCTGAATAAGTCACAAGTAACGTGCAGTACGTGGATGCAATATAAACCCGGAATAGGTTCGTCGAATCACGGCTATTCAACTCAAGTTTCTGGATGAAAGCACCTGCTCAATCAGAGTTTCCATCGATTCCGTACGACACAAGAGCACTAAACGGAAATACTGTTACGGCATAAAACATATTTAAACTCTGCGATCATGATTAGTTCAAACTGTTCAAGACGATAAGTTCAAAAATATAACCTTCGTAATGGATATTTTGCAAAACATTGCATTAAAAATAAAGATTTACATTTTACTTGTACCAAGCCCGCAAGTTCTTGCAAAGTAAACGGTACGTTGTGCTTACAGATATATTATGTGCCGTTTTCTGCCATTTAAAAAAAAACACGAGTGTTACCAAACGCTAGAGCAGGGATTTCCAACCTTTTTCTTTCATCGCCCCAAGTTCAGAAAAGTGTTTGCTTCATCGACCTCCTAACATTTTCTCTATAGTATACATCATCTATTATTGTAACGCAAAGAAATGAATGTAAATGCCTTAAAGATAATTTATTTCATCAATTTACTTGTAATATTATTTTTAATAACAGAAGATCGTGTCACTTTTGTGTAGATGAGCTTCTGATTTTTGTGGTACAATGGTTTTAAAATGTTGAGTGTTTTTAAGAACAGTCCGTGACATTCCTCCAGCGAGTATAGCAGATATTATTTTCTTATATGATAGAGTAAAACTGTGAATGCATAGTTATAATTTGAATTTTGTAAACATTTTAACTCTTCAGGATAAACGACGGACCCGAAAAAACAGGAACGAATTTGTAATTTATAATTAGTTTATATATTTTGTTGCTTTACATAAAAAAATATTTATTATCAATTTCATTAATATTTTTGTTCGTAATCAATTAGATTCTGATTACCCTGTTCAGTCGCTGGTTCATAGGCTATTGGCCACCCAATTGATTCCTTCATCATCAATGACCCCCTTCAAATTTTTATCGATTCCACAGGGGTCGATACAGACCCCTTTGAGAAACTGCATTAGAGTTACATTTAAGCGATAAAGTGTCACTTTTTATTGATGTGTGCATATTCTGTGTGATCATACGTAATTATAAAACTAGATTTTTTAATGATGTTTCTCGTCTCAGTAGACACGAGAAAAATGTTTTTTGACACTGCAGAAAGTACCCAAAATGTTCAAAATAAATATGTTCTTCTCACATCTCAAAATCAGAAAATATTTTAATAAATTGGAAGAAAACAACTGTATATTGCTAATTACATGTATCACTTGTTTCTAAAAATGATTTTTCCCATTCAATTGTACTGGAATTTACTCTGGAGTTCAGCGGTTTTTTCCTCTTTTGGCATTTACATTGGTAGCCCTCTGTTACGT